TAGTGAACGCGCCACGGGCTGCGTCGTCGAACTCGAAGGGCACCTTCGGGGACTGAAGTCTCGACAAAGGTGCGGCCACTTTCGAGTATGACTTGATGAATCGTTGATAATATCCAGCCAAACCCATAGCGTACACTCGTCGTGCAACGGGGTTCCGGCCAATCCACGATGGCTTGGATCTTGTCCGCTAAGGGACGAATGCCTTTCCGCGTGACAAAATTACCCAAGTACTCTAGCTCTTGCTTGGCGAATTCGCACTTGTCGAGATTCGCTTTGTACTTGGCTAGTCGCAAACGATTCAGAACAATGCGAAGGTGTATGATGTGCTCGTCCAACGTCCTACTATAAACCAAGATGTCATCAAGGTAGATGAGGACGCTGCRATCGAGCAAGTCGCGAAACTCAGTCGTCATCGCTGCTTGAAAAGTTGCGGGGGCATTGGTGAGGCCAAAGGGCATGACAACCCACTCAAAATGCCCGTACCGCGTCTTGAACGCGGTCTTGTACCGGTCTTGAGGCTGGATTTCCTCGACACCAAGTTCGACATGATTCTAGGCATGTCTTGGCTGCGTTGCGCCGATCATCTGGTGAACTTCCATGACCGAACCGTTCACATCCGTGATCGGAACGGAGTGTTAGTCCCATGTACGGTCGCGACCCCTCACACTTCGATTGCTTGTCACGTGGTTTCCGTTGCGAAAATTCGCGACGCCATTGCTCGGAATGACGTCGAGGAGATGGGCCTTGTATTCTTGCATGCTCTCCCCTCGCCGGACGGACCAGCCGCGTCACCGCCGGACCCACGCATTTCTCACCTCTTGGACGAGTATAGAGACGTCTTCGAGGCTCCCACCGGAACGGTTTCGGATCGGCCCATACGTCACGGGATCACTCTCGAGGCTGGCGCCGGCCCTCCGCGTGGATGTATCTACCGCATGAGCGAAGAGGAACTCGAGGTGCTTCGCGCACAGCCCGATGATCTTCTCGACAAGGGCTGGATTCGCCCTAGTTGCTCGCCATACGGTGCACCTGTTCTTTTCGTCCGGAAGAAGAACAAAGATTTACGG